CTCTCACTGTGAAAATCACAGTGAGAAGCACGCAAGCGCCTCTAGTGGCTGTCAGTGAGACAGCCACTAGAGGATTAGGGGGAAGGCTTAACCCATTCATAAACATAGCAGTTTCTCTGAAACTGCTATGTTTATAAAAAAATGGGTTAACCCTAGAAGGACCTGGCACCCAGACCACTTCATTAAGCTGAAGTGGTCTGGGTGCCTAGAGTGGTCCTTTAAAGATTAATAATTATCTTTCTTTATTAAGCTGTAATATCTATTGCACATACATTGATATGTTATAAACAATACACATTGGTGCAGATCTCTCTTTTCTGTTTTATATATAATGTACTCTTTTTCATCCTGGAACATCACCATGTGGTATTTCATATTTATAAATTCTTGGTGAGACCTTGCCGTTAATAAACAATTGTGTTCTAAAGAACAATATCATTAGCAAACAACATTTCCTCTTCAACCTATTGTTTGTGTGAGTTTTCTTGTAATTATCCTATTTATAGTTAAATGGACTCTCCAGTGCCAGGAAAACAAACCGTTTTCCTGGCACTGCAGGTCCCCTCTCCCTCCCACCCCCCATCCCATGTTGCTGAAAATGTAAAACCCCTTCAGTGACTTACCCTTATCCAGCGCCGATGTCCCTCGGCGCTGGGTCAGGGTCCATCCACGCTCCTCCCCCGCCGACGTGCTATAAACACGGACGTGCCCTCTAGTGACTGTCTAGTAGACAGCCACTAGAGGAGATGTTAACCCTGCAAGGTAAATATTGCAGTTTATGAAAACTGCAATAATTACACTTGCAGGGTGAAGGGTAGTGGGAGTTGGCACCAAGACCACTCCAATGGGCAGAAGTGGTCTGAGTGCCTGGAGTGTCCCTTTAAATCGCCCCTCTAATAATATTGTAAAGCGCTAAGGAATCTGTTGGCGCTATATAAATGGCGATAATAATAATAATAAATCATTGATGTACATTATTCTGCTATTGCAGGTTCAAATGTCATCCATCCAGGTCAGTAACTTCACTGGATCCTACTGAGCTAATGCCCTCAAACACAACGGTGGCTTTACAACTCTGCCATCTACCTTTTCATGTATGTTTTTCCATAAAATGTATCTATTAATCTATTTTTTTTAATTTTTTTATTTTTTTATTAAGGCTTCATTCTTTATTCATGTTTCGTAATTTTCCTTTATTTGTGTCAATACGCAATATGTTTGTGAACAATAAAGTTAAGTTGAATATGTATGACGCAGCGACGCATGCTGACGTCAGAAGGCGGAAGTAAGTCCACGGAGTGGTCGCGGCGGAATTTGCCGCCCAATTAGGATATTTAAACTGATATGTTTATACTTCGACAGAGCGGAGAGGAACAGGGGCCATCGAAGGGACAGGAACGTCCCGAGCGCGCAGCCCATTTCAGCCCGTTTCTAGGATTGCCTACTTCCATGGATCATTGAATGACCTGTCATAGTGACCAGATTCTGCTAAATGATTGATTGTCTTTCCACCAAACTACCAGCATTTTCACCCTCATCCATTATACACCATCTACAGACTACATCATCCTCCTACTGAGCATACCTTAAAGCTATCTTCTACATTGGTGAGATCTATCCATAGACTTATGAAGCATATAGTGCACTATATTTTGGACTATTATACAACAGGACTGTGTGATATATAATTTTTTTCACTTTTTTCTCCTTTTTTTCTTTTTTCTCTTTTCTTTTCAATTTTTTTATTTTTTATTTTTTACTATTTTACTATTTTTTTTAATTTTTTGGGGATCATCTTCTTCATTCATTTTTTGGATCATTACACATTGTAAATAGATACATAACTCATGAAATTTAACATAGGGAGGATTTGGTGTGTATATATGTAAATATTCTATGTACATAGGATTGAAATGTATTCTACTATGATTGACTTTATGAATTTATGAATTATAATTATAATAAATAGCTTTGCAATTAAATATAAGATTAGACTTTACTGGAATTGTTTTGAGTGCGGTATTCATATTTGTTTTTGATTTAGATTAGGAGGTTGTTGTGGGGTTAAACCTCGAATACCTGCACCTTGCATAATTGAGTGCCAGCACATATTGTGTTTTTATATCTATTAATCTATCCACTAAAGCCATCCAAGGTTCGATTATCTAGACATCCTTGTGTGGTTCTACTTTCTTAAGTCTGCCAGCTACACTTTTCATTTGTACTACAACAAGTAGTAGTTGTCCAAAAGGATGGAATATTTCACAATACTCTATATGCATTAGGTTAATTCTGCAGTGTATTTGAGGGGATACGATTACCATACACAAGTACAATCAAGATCAATGCAGTGAACTTTGTGTAAATGTCAAGGGACATTACTTAAGGGCTAGACAGAAAACGTATTCATGTTAACCACAAAAATAAATAAATAATAATAATTAAAAATACATTTTTCATCACATTTTTGTTTTACTACCAAATGAATGTTTTTAGCACCGATAATTAGTACATAGATGTTTCAATTAAGTATGTATGGGATTTGTAAAAAAAATAATAATCTCAAACCACAATCACATAGATATAACATGTGTGTTTATTGTTAGGGGTCTCATTTACCTCTAATATTTATATACACACCAAAATACATATGTGACATACATGTGCAGCAGCAGCAAAAAAAAAAATAAATAGATCACACATATATCAATACAAATACATATGCAATATGATAATCAGACTAATTACCTAAGACATGTACATGTAGCTTGTTTCTAGTTTCCAAGTACATACATAGACGTAGATTTTCTTAACACTCAATATAATCATCTTCAATTTATGGACTTTAAGAACAGTGGTGGCTTGTCCTTAGAGACACTTAAGGGCAGCACCCCATTAAATAATTGTTGTCATAATAAAGAAAATGAAACAAGGAAAAGAAAACACTTTGTTATTAAATTGAGGTGTGTATTGGCGCTATGAGATAGTATCACAAAATTTCCCAATGCCACTGATCACCTAATGTGGCATAAATACGACATACATAAAACACATGAACAAAGTGGGAAGTGCAAGCAGAATGAATATAATGAAATACTTATATCTGAATTTTCTGATGGAATACAGTGGATACAAGTTTGTAAAGGAGACATAAAAATGGATACTCGCATAGTGTAATACTGTATACAACAAATAATTAGTAAGAAGGTCCTCTCAGAATTACTCACATTTACCAGAGCCACTTATAGCAGGCTCCGGCTGTGAAGGTGTATAAGTGAACTATGTCCACTATGACAGTCTGCCAAACGGACCCAGATAAGGAATCTCCAGGATGCGGAAAGTAGGTAAAGGACACAAAAACACAACGCATTTCAACACAATTGTCTTTTTCAAGTGCATAATTTATACAGTACAAGCTGCCAAATTTATACAAAAAAAAGGGAAGTTACAATTTGCGCTAATCCCCGGCATCTACCCAGCATCCTGTGATTCCAGAAATAACGTTGTCGTCCTATGCGTTACAAGTTCAAGTCTCACTCTCAGACGTACTTCCGCAATCACACGCATGCGTGTTGGTTGCCTCCACGATACTTGTCTGTTAGTCCATTTGAACACTAAAAGTCTCTTGTATTTCAAATGTGTTCCATTGAACGCAAGAAAGAACATAAAAGTAGTATAAGAAACATAAATGTAAATTAGCAAAAGGCAATAAATACAGCAATTAAAAAAATACATTTTGTATTGTACCTTGAACCTAATAGTGAATATAGGAAGAAAGATTTTGAAATAAAATAAGAGAGTTATTATATGGGAAAATAGCAGAATTAATACAAATAATGTTATTGAAGTATATAAAAAGTGTATCTGACTATATAAAAATCATGTATAGAAGTACAAGAGAATTCATATATGAATTTATATATGAATTTAAGACCATTTAGAAAAAAAGAGACAAATAGATCAAACAACATGTGTGAAACTAAAAAGTAAAAGCGCTAAAAAATATAATATACAGAAAAAAAAAGTTGAATATATACTACATTAGCGCAATGGATTCCCAGTCTATATTAAGACCATTGGGGGTCATAGTATCCAAATTAAAAATCCATTTCATTTAATTTTTATTAAGACTGGATGGGATACTACTTCCTCTCCAATGACCTAAGATATGTTGAACACCAAAAAATAAAAGTAAATCTGGATTTTTGCTATGATGTTCTAAAAAATGTTTTGATACGCTATGATTAGCAAACCCTCTTCAAATATTGTATATATGTTTTCGTATCCTGATATTTAGAGGCCTTGAGGTTTTTTCCACGTATTGGAAACTGCATAGGCATGCAAGAACATATACTACATTTTTGGTATTACAAGTTATTAGGGAATTGATTAAAAAAAACTTATTTTTGTTACTATGGGAATAAATTGAATTTTTTTTGCTGTATCCTGGAGATTCATTACCTGGGTCCGTTTGGCAGACTGTCGTGGTGGACATATTTCACTTATACGCCTTCGCAGCCGGAGCCTACTTTAAGTAGCACTGGTAAATGTGAGTAGTTCTGAGGGGATCTTGCTACTAATTATTTGCTGTATACAGTATTACACTATGCGAGTATCCATTTTTATGTCTCCTTTATAGACTTGTATTCACTGTATTCCATCGGAAAATGTAGAAATAAGTCTTTCATATTAAAGAAAATCTATTGCCAGTAGTAAAAGAGTGAATACTGTTATTGTTTCCCTTTAGGAAAAGGTTTACTTGCAAACATATACCATATAATTTTCTCCTTCTACAACAGAGCAAAATGACTCACTGATAATAAATTAGGGCTAGCTGGATAAGCTATTGAGGGCAGCAAGGCCTGTGTAGAATTTAGGTCATTTTTTTTAAATCTGCCCCATCAAATCACACCTCAGTAGTGATGTCCCGAACGGTTCGCGAACGGTTCGCCACGGACGGCGAACATATGCGTAAACTTTGACCCTGTACTTCACAGTCAGCAGACACATTCCAGCCAATCAGCAGCAGACCCTCCCTCCCAGACTCTCCCACCTCCTGGACAGCTCACTAAGAATGCAGCTTCACAATGAATATAAAATGGATGCTGTCCAGGAGGTGGGAGGGTCTGGGAGGGAGGGTCTGCTGCTGATTGGCTGGAATGTGTCTGCTGACTGTGAGGTACAGGGTCAAAGTTTACCGCATATGTTCGCCGACCGTGGTGAACAGTTCGGCGAACCGTTCGCGACATCACTACACCTCAGACATGCTCAGTATGCCCTTAGAGGTTATTGCCACATTTACTCTCCAACAGGGCACCGGTATCATACGCACCTAGTATATTATAGTTCAAAAGTCTAAAATTTTATTGAAAATCATTGTTTACATTGTAGTTTTCTGCAATGGTTGAAAGATCAGTACCTGCCTGCCTAGGACTTTTTGTCTCTGTTCATTCTGTGCACATGAGATACAGAAATTAGGATTTCAGTCTCTGCATTATGATGTTTTTCTCTGTTTGTTATGTTTCCCCAGGTGTAATGTAGTTGTCAGATTTATATTAAATTTATATATTTAGTGAATGCCATTATTGAAACTTGAACAAAGTGCATTAATTTCGCTTATTGAGTTTCTGTGGAGTGAGCATCCAAGTGTGAATAGATTTACTTTTGTATGTGTTAATCCATGTAAAATAATATATTCATGTAATATCTCAAGCAATGTTTGTTTTTATCTGACTTATCAAAAAAAAAAAAAAGACAATTTTTTATGCCCATAACAAGATCAGGACCCAGCTCACCAGCCCAAAACACCAAGCTTTTAAGCACTAGGCTACAGTTAAATACACAAAATATTAGAGTTCTGTTTCCATATAAGCACTATCTGTGTCTGATGTTTATGTTTCATCCAATAGCAACAGTGTGCCTTCTAGAAATGTTTCCCTCTTGTCTGCTCTGTGTGTCTGATAAAAATGGGTTCCTCAAACCTCAGCACTATGTGCCTTGCAGAAATGTTTCCCCCAGATTCACCCCACTGTATGTGTCTGTTAATACATGCTGCCAGACTATCCCAAGTTTCCATTATTAGATTGTCCTGTATCTTCAAGTCTTATTTTGTAAATTTACATTTTCTGTGCTGACAGATGCAATAATTTCAAATTTTAGCATAATTTATTATGTCAGAGCAATGCTAAGAAATAAACTTAAGCAAATTTCTGCAAGCTGAAGTAAAATATGTTTTTTGTTTTGTTTTTCAATTTTTTTTAATATTCTTTATTTTTGCTGTGAATGGAAAATACAAGACAGTGGTTTGCACTGTTATGTGATATACATCAGAACAATCAGGATATGCAAAACAGAACAGTAATGCGTAACCTGCACATTGTGGGTATATTACAGAGATTAAAGAAACACAGTGCTATTAATTGAAATTGTATTGAGTACCAAAGTGAGATGCAAGACAAGGCACCAGATGCATAGACTAAAAGAGTAAGCAGTTATGAGAAATCAACTGGATGAATATTCAGAATGCTGGGAAACCACTGGGTTCAAACAACATAGAAAAGATACGTAAACTGAAAACACTGCATATTTGCATAAATCTATACGGATTCTGCCCTAGTCTATCAGCCTATGTCTCTGATAGGCCAGAGTCGATAGAGCAGTCCAGTGCCGGGAACTGCAATTTCTCCTGCCACTCACACACTCACAGGGGCCGCAATCTTCAGAGCACTTCTCTGGTGTGAGGACAGCGTTGTGGATGTATCTCCAAATGGGCTCCCAGCCTGGAGAAGGAACTGTGAGCCAGAGCCACTCTTGGGTACAACGATGTGACAGACAAGCTGGAAGTACACAATAGGCTGTTCATGACTCCTGATCTTGTGTAGTTTGATAGGTAAATCAGCTGTTAACTCAATACTCTCTGGCAGATTGCCTCAAATTGAGCATTAAAGTGGTGTTCCCACTTCTGGCCCTTCAGATTCGATCAGCATTGTGGATGATTCAGAGCGGCGGCCATCTTGGGTGCAACACGCGACACAAGATTGCAGGTCTTCGGGTGCAGAGTGTATTGACCCAGTGGGAACCGGGATGACCCCCACTGGTCCAAAGGGGGTAACAGGGCTGTTGCTGCTCAATATGAGAGGTGCACCTTGTGTTGGGAGACCATCCACTTCTCCCAACCGTCTGGGCCCCTTGTCTCGGTAGGCCTCAGATTCTGATGTGAATTGTAATCAGCAGCTCACCTCAAACTGGGATCAAAAGGATACGGTAGGTATTGCAAACATCAGCCTACAGTTCATGGTTGCTTTTTGCAGGGATAGCTGCATGAAAAATTTGCTTTTTGTTTAAGCCCTGGAGAGCTACTGAAGAATACATCTGGCCATGTTGGAAGCCATGCTCTTCATATTTCATATGAGTCTAAAAAATCATGAGGTGATGTTTCCAGAGAGAGGATGAAGTGGAGTTCTGTCAGTAGAATCTTAATACTTCACCAGCCATCGCTGAAGAAGCCCCTCTATGGCTTCACATTTGCATTATATTTTTCCTTTAGATTGTAAGCTTATGGGCCTTCTTGTATAGTACCTTGCAGAAAAATGACACCCACAGCCGGTGTTCCCTTTCCCATTTGCATCAGTAGATCTAATTATATATCCCACTGTTTTAAAAATGACATGTTCTGTTTGCATACATTTTAAAACGATCTGAATAAGAGAGCTTTATAAGAAGTGTTAAATAAATTAAATACTTAGAAAGTAACTATTGCAGCATTATGTAATAATACATATTGTTTATATACTGTGATTATTCAAAGAACTGGTTGCTAAATATATCTGCTTGGCTATCCTTTGTGGATAGATTTAACACATTAAATTCTGCAACATACATTTTAAAACTATGAGTCACTTAGCATTAATAATTCACAGTTAAGAACAATTAATGTAGCAATGTGTTTAATGGCTTTTCCTCTTACTTTAATATAATTAAACCCCCAAGGGGCATTTTAAAGATTGACTTTTTTTTAATCTTAGTTTACTTCAGTTCAGCACCCCTGCTGTGACACTATTTAAAACATTTTTTATATATTTTTAAAAAAATTTTTTTAATCTTATATATGTATTTGAGAATCTGAAAAAAATAAAACTTTTCCCAGATCTATCAGTATCAGTAATGACTAAACAGAGAAAATTTCAACCAAATACGCAGGCTTGGAGAGTCAATAATATATTACATAGAAACATAGAATGTGAGGGCAGATAAGTAGTGATGTCGCGAACATGAAATTTTCGGTTCGCGTACCGCGAACGCGAACTTCCGCAAATGTTCGCGAACCGGGCGAACCGCCATAGACTTCAATAGGCAGGTGAATTTTAAAAAAAATGAACAATAAGGAGGGACCTATTGTCCCACCCGGCCCCCACCCCTGAGCGGTTGGTGGGGGCCCTAAAATGAACAATAAGGGGGGGACCTATTGTCCCCCCCCCGGCCCCCACCCCTGAGCGGTGGGTGGGGGCCCTAATAACAATAAGGGGAGGACCTGTTGTCCCCCCTGGCCCCCACCCCTGAGTGGTGGGTGGGGGCCCTAAAATGTCCCCCCCGGCCCCCACCCCTGAGCGGTGGGTGGGGGCCCTAATAACAATAAGGGGGGGACCTATTGTCCCCCCTGGCCCCCACCCCTGAGCAGTGGGTGGGGGCCCTAAAATGAACAATAAGGAGGGGACCTGCTGCCCCCCCCGGCTTCCTCCCCTGCGCGTATGGCGAACATATGCGATGTTCGGTCCGCCCCCTATTAATTTACTAATACTAAGTACAAATTACTTAGTATTAGTAAATTGTGCCCCTACTCACAATACCACGAGTAGGGGCATGTCTATTAAACAGTGAGCAGCCTGGGGCTGCCCACTGTTAAAAAAAAAGGGCCCCCCCGGTGGGGGCCCTAAATACTAATGGGGGGGACCTATTGTCCCCCCCCTGGCCCCCACCCCTGAGCGGTGGGTGGGGGCCCTAAAATTAACAATAAGGGGGGGACCTACTGCCCCCCCCCGGCCTTCACCCCTGCGCGGTGGGTGGGGGCCATATTGATAATGAGGGGGGGGACCTACTGTCCACCCCCCTCCGGCCCCCACCCCTGGGCGGCGGGTGGGGGCCATAAAGATAATGAGGGGGGGGACCTACTGTCCTCCCCCCCAGGCCCCCACCCCTGGGCTGTGGGTGGGGGCCCTAAGTAAATTCCCCCCCCCAAGGTGACTAGGGGTCCCCAAGCCCCTAGTCACCCACCCCCCCAAATAAAAAGTCCCTACCTACCCACCCTCACCCTTAAAAATAGTGAGGGGGGAATAAAATAACTAGGGGCGCAATCTTAGCCTAGGGGTGGGGGCCAGGGGGGCAGTAGGCCCTTTTTTTTTTTTTTTAACAGTGTGCAGCCCCAGGCTGCTCACTGTTTAATAGACATGCCCCTACTCGCGGTATTGTGAGTAGGGGCACAATTTACTAATACTAAGTAATTTGTACTTAGTATTAGTAAATTAATAGGGGGCGGACCGAACATCGCATATGTTCGCCATCTGTGGCGAACGCGAACACGCTATGTTCGCCAGGAACTATTCACCCGGAACCGTTCGGGACATCACTACAGATAAGAACCATTCGACCCATCTAGTCTGCCAAATTTTCTAAATACTTTTAATTAGTCCCTGGCCTTATCTTATAGTTAGGATAGCCTTATGCCTATTCCACACATGCTTAAACCCCTTCACTTTGTTAATCTCTACCACCTCAGCTGGAAGGTTATTCCATGCATCCACTACCCTCTCAGTAAAGTAATACTTCCTGATATTATTTTTAAACCTTTACCCCTCTAATTTAGGACTATGTCCTCTTGTTGTGGTAGTTTTTCTTTTATGTATAGTCTTTTCCTTTACTGTGTTGATTTCCTTTATGTATTTAAATGTTTCTATCACTATCCCCTGTCTCGTCTTTCCTCCAAGTTATACATATTAAGATCCTTTAACCTTTCCTTGTGAGTTTTATCCTGCAATACATGAACCAGTTTAGTAGCCCTTCTCTGAACTCTCTCTAAAGTATCAATATTCTTCTGGAGATACAGTCTCCAGTACTGTGTACAATTCTCCAAGTGAGGTCTCACCAGTGTTCTGTACAATAGCATGAGCACTTCC